TTATTTCAAATAAAAAATGATAAAAGGAACCTAAAGATGATTTTAAAATACCTGTTCAACGTGAACTATATGACATAGTTCATCGATTTTTTTTTTCATTTTGACAATATGGCGTCTAGTTATCGCTGTGGTGAAATTTGATTACTGTCATGTCTTTAGTGACACTCGCAAGGTTAAGACGAATCGATTGACGTAAGAATCATCAAAATCGGTCTACGCATTCTAGAACGCCACATAGAAAGAAACATACATACATACAAAGACTGGTAAACATATTACCCTCCTTTGCGTCACGTAGTCGGGTAAAAACACAAATATTTACTATATTTTTGCAAAATAACAATAAATCGGGTGTCAGCCATTCGATGTCTCCTTTTTTCGGCTCCATAACATTCAATTGACGATTACATCACTTTTTCCTCTGAAAGTGTTTTAATTTTTATTCGATTATAATTTTTACACATTTAACCAAACCATAGACAAATTTAACAAAGTAATGTTATGCTAGACCAGAGTTATGAGCAAAAGTCTCGTGATACATGGCCCGCACATCACGGGTTCAATAGCTTATTTCAAATACTTTTATTAATTTAAACAAGACCTACTGTTTCGCCAATTCACTGTAGTATAGTGGCAGAGTATACATCTTTGGATAGGTAAATGAAGTCACAAAAAGACGACAACGAGAATTCAATGAACCCATACGATATTGTTATTTTTTAGTGTGAACAAACAGTTATGATATTATGTGTCAATCAAATGAGCATCACTTATCATATCTTACTGTCAAGTTCATGATGGCTACTGAGGAACAATAAACAAAAAACTTGACGCGTGGTCTCTCAAAAAAATATGATGGCAAATCGGCAAATTTTAATTTGTAGAAGGCAACATTGGGGAAAAAGGGTAAAGATCATTATATTTTGCATTCACAATGATATACTGAAAAATATCCTTAATGAAAAATGTTTAAAAAATCCACTTTGTTTTGCCAATCAACGCCTATTTGGGCATTTTCACAAAATAGATTAATATTTTCACAGATATTCACAACAATTTACACTTTGACTTGATAGTTGTCAACAAAAGACAATTTATATTGCCATATGAAAACCGAAATTCTTTTCTTTTGTTTTTTTGCCATCAGATTTTGCTACACCTTCAACACCATAGTTATCACAGATCATTGTTTTTAAGTACTGTCAATGAAAGAGTATTTAAGAAAAGAATAGTTGAAAAGAAAAGATTGAAACCAAGAATTAAAAAAAAATAAAGGTAAATATAAAGATAAAGACATTAGCGATAAACCATAGCGATAAACTTAATGTCAATCAAACTGTTTGTGTAATTCTTTCGGATTTTCTTTGTGTATTAAAAGTAAATTGAATTTCGTATAATTAGTCGTCATCATATTTTTAATTCGTTTTCCGCGTTCAATTTCCTGATCAATAATCCCGATTCGGGAACCCGAGTCTTCGTCGCCAGTCATTCAACCCATGAAAATCCCTTGCAAAAGCTACATAACTTCTGCTGAACGAACGCCGTTCGAACGCTAGCCAATGTCCCATTGATCGCGTGTGGCTATCTAATTGATATTTATTTTCGTAGTTTTATCGATCCTTACCTAAAGGGTAAAAACGGGTGTCTATATCATTACTTATACTCGTATTAAAATATGTACTATAGTTTAGAGAAGTAGTTACTTGAGAATAATGTCGTAGCAGAAGCAGATATGTTTACCAAATAAACAAGAATTTGAATGAAATAATAAATTTTAATATCTAGTTAGAATACTATTACTTTTAACAGTTCTGACTTCATTAAAATTCTCGTCTATTGGATAAAAATATGTGCTTAAATATGTAAGTCCTCAGACTCAAGAAATCTGGGGGCACGGAAGTGCCCCCAGCAAGTCGAGCAAAAAGTAAAAAGGGCACGGCCGTACCATCCTTTTCTCGAAACTATTTAGGTCATTTTTGACCTCTTTGTAATTTCGTTGTGGAGAAAACTAGAAGCCTAAATTTTCAGTGACCAAGAGGGCATCACATAACGAGGCACATTTTATTAAAATTACATTAAATTTGAATGAGTACTTTAAAAACTTTTGCAATTCATAATACCTTAATTTTGTCACTAACCGACTTATAGATCATCAATATTCTAAGGTACTGCCAGAAGACCCACGGGCACCCTGATTTGTGGGGTTCATACTTTAACATTGAATGCTGCTTAAAAAGCGTCTGGATAATATATAGTTGTCGTACTGTGAGCACTTTACACTTTTCATAGAGGTCAGTTGTAGGATGACGGTATGGTAACGACATACTTACTTTTAGAATTACTTATAGAATTTCTACTCTCAAGAAAGTTGTTTTTGTAGCTTCACCCCATACCACTATGCAATATGTAAGTAGAGACTGGCATAGAGCAAAATAGACAATCCTAATTAACCCTGCATTACCTATGCGTCCAAGGTTTTATAAGATTATCATGACTTTTTGAACCCTCGATGTTATCATTTTTAATTTAATCTACTGTATACCGTAACCTTGCACACATACATGATTTTTCATTAATTTTTACACTGATGGTACCTATATTATGGTAAAATGGGAGGTATCAGATATATTATTCCTTGGGGCATAGATCATAAAGTGAGTCTTCTCTAAGCTGAGTCAGCTAATGATAGAATAAAACAAAACAACAAATATACAAAAAAAAAATATATCAGATCAATTTTGCATCCACAACGTTATACTAAAAATATTCTTAATGAAAAAAGCTCAAAACATCCACTTTGATCGGCACTCTGAGATGGGACTCGAAGCCATGACCTGTCGTTTTCCGAGCTCGAATCCCATCTCGGGGAACCAAGGGCTAGTGAATTTTTTATTAAGAATATTTACCAGTACAGCATTGAGAATGAAAAATTCGTAAAATATAATAATTAAATTTGTTTAACCTAACGTGCTGTCGACTGTACATGCTTAAGTGCATTTTTAAACTACTTACCTCACAATTTTCTTTGGAACACACTCAGTTCCTTTATCGTGCCGAAAGCATCTTGCTTCGAAAATAAAACTCTTTACTTTGTTTACACCAGTGATTCCCAAACAGCGGTTCACAGACCACTGATGGTAGCAAGACTGAGATTGGAAATTGGTCGGCGATTGAAAGTTCAATCTTTATCATTTTAAATTATTAATCACAAAATATCTTTCCTATCAAAGAACAATGGGTCAATATGGAACCCATACTCACCTTGTGGTATATATAGTAGATGTTATTTTGAACAGGCTTCAATGAACGACTCAAAAATTAATGAATTAATGAATGGGAGACTGAAGTTATTAACGATTTAGTGTTTTATAAAAGAAAGCGCGAGTGTTGTTTGGCGCGTGGAATGATTTTACATACATGGATTTTTTTGGGATAACATATTATTGAATATCAAAGATATCCAATGATTTACAGAGTTGTTGTCATACAAAATAAAATTGTGTTTTTATTGATTTTTTCTAATCATATCATTTTTCTTAATTATTCAAAATATTTAATAAGACAGTTAACGCAATTTACATAGCTTATTTTACTTACAATCTGATTCTTCTAACCGAGAAAAACTGGTCCCTGTTTAATTAATATTGAGAATCACTGGTTTATACGGAAAGCCTTCGCTAAAAATAGTAATGATCACGCGTGTCGTGATACGCCTCTTAATAACAAACTGTATTCGTTATAGTCAACTCTTTATTTTTAATTATTCTCAAAAATTAAATCATTATCACAAAATAAAAGTCTTATTATACGGAATATACATAGAAGTCTCTGCAACAGAAAGATATACTCAAGCGAACCTAATACATATGTAGCCAAAAATTTTGCACAAACAATACAACCTTTATGCTATTCTATTTATTTCCTCTTGAAGTAGGTTTTAATTCATGGCACCTCTCTGCTATGACAGGGCTACGTTCGACGACGACTTTACCTGTGTATTTATAACAGAATAGCACACGCAGTCCACATCACATCACAATCACACGAAGAATAATAAAATTTGCGCCATATTCAAACAAATAAATTAAATTGCAATATTCTTCCTTAAAACGGGCAACCTGTTTCTTTTTCAAGATGTCCGGCCATCAACAAACTTAAAAAAAACATGATGAAAAAACTTGTTTGAAAAAAAAGGACTTATACCAACTGCAAAATTATATTAAACAACAAAATAATTGAATAGACCACGACGTATGCAAAAACATCCGACAATATGATTAATGATCTTAAATTAATAAGATAATAATATTTGTGTATTAGGTACTCATTACTAAATTATACTTTTTGTGGATATAGCTTCATAATTCTTTGATACAGCGTCAAATAGATTAAGGCTTTATATCGATGTAACCGAATAAACGACAGTCAGATGAATTTGACTACAATGGACGCTTTGGTCTGAGATGCTGATTTTTTTCTAATACGAATTCTTCGCTTCTAATGTTCTTGCAATTTAATAATTTTAGACTTGAACTTATATGTATTATAGAAAATAGTAAATTGAGATAAATATAGTTCGCTTACATACACCATGCGCTTTGGACTGTAGATGTTTTGAAAATAATTGATTGTTGATTTAAAATGAAGTCTTATTTTATAGCCAAAACAATACAAAAGTTTTACGGTTAAATTTCTAGTTCATTACTATGAATAACCCCTTGATGCCGTAACCAATGTGCTTTATTACTATTACAACTTTAATTATTTATTAATCTATTTACTTGCTATAAAATTTTCAGAATAGCAATCTACTAGTTGCTTTGCTTATTACTAAAAATAATTAAATCCACATAGGATTCCAAACATACTTCTCTAATTCGGTGAATATTGAAATTAATTATCTACCACAAATACAAGCCTTTCATATGCAACTTAAAGCAGTCACCTTTATTTCTAAATAAAAATAAATACTTTGAGATAACAATGCATTATTCTTGCAGGTAAACCGCGTGAATCGCGGGGCGCCTCTTCTGAACATCAAACGAAACCTGTAAGAAAAGAGCCTTTCACACATCTCTCTGAACAGGAGCTCATAGAAGAAGCTAACAAAGTCATAGCTCAAGCTGAAAGCGTCACTTGTACAGCTGATCACCCGCCAGAGAAGTTCTTTTCTTTGCCGCACAGAAGGAAATATAAAGAAGATAAATCACCAAGAAGAAACAGTGACGACGCAAACTCAGATATAATAGTAAAATCACCTCTTGGAAGATCAAGTAGCGATGTGAGTTCCAAAAGGAAAAAGGAAAGAACATCACTGTCGACACTCTTCCGAAGAGCTCAACGTAACAAAAGCCCTGATTTACCAGTGATAGTAACAACCAAACCAGTTCCAATAGTAAAAAGAAGTAAAAGTGACGTCTCTGATTTAAAATCTAACACTAATCTAAGTAAAACTAAACCTATACGAAAAAGATCGGGAAGTGAAACAGAAGAGTTTCTTAAATCTCTGAGGAATAAAAAATCACAGTTATCTCCTATTATTGAAAGTTCACCTAGAGAAGATTATTTCAAAAAAACACCACCATTAGAAGTATTTCAGAAACAGAAATTATCTCAAAAAAATAGTGTTAAGAGTGAAGATTCAAATAATGATAGAAAAGTTAACCCAGTAGAGAAACCACCTCGATACAAGACACCTGAAAAACAAGTGCCTAAACCACCAGTTAGAACAAAGAGAGGTAAGTCAGTAGAAAAAGAAAAATCACCTCCTATAACAGATACACCTAAACGAAAAACAGACATAAAGAAGACTATATTAGTTGATGAAATAGATGGTTTGAAAACAAAGGATACGAGTCCAGAAATAAAAGATAAAATAAAAGAAAGTATTAGAAAAATTGAAGAAAACGTATATGGTACTAAAGATATGATACATAGCAGTCAACTGCCTCCTGATAAACCACCACTCACTAGGGGGCATACTGTTGACCATATTGTCAGAATTTTGAAAGAAGATCAGTCTTCACCACCAAAAACACATTTGATTTCACCACCAAACGGTACTAATACTAATCAACCGTTCTCTTATATAAAACCAACCGTTAGTCCGGATCCTAATCTATTCGTAAGAGCAGCTAGTCCTGACAGAGTACCTTCACCTGTTAATAAAATGAATGACAAAGGTGTTGTTTATGCTCAAGTTATTAGAGACTATGGTGATGCAGCTTCAAGTAAACTGGGAAAACAGACTATTCATAAAACTTATTCTCCATCAAGAGAAAAGTACGGCAATTTCTCAGATGAAGATGAAGGATTAGGTTATGAGGAAAGATATAAGCATCCTAATAATCACTTCGATCACAATAACAAAATTAATGAAAAAGAAAACTATAACAGTTTTGATAGTTATAAAATCACTGATTCACCTATAAGGCCCAAATTTCGAGAGTACAAATTAACGAGTTTTGAAGATTTTGAACCTACATATGCAAATGAATATCCATCAAATAATGAGAAAACCCATGATTATATTGACGCTTTTAGAGGTAGAGCTGATGGTATGGATACCAAGAAAAAAACTTACGAAATCGAAAAAAATAAAATAGATTTAGACTTTAATGAGTTAAGTCACAGACGTAAACTTTTAGAATCACGACTCAACGCCCGAAGAACTGAACGGGAAAGAGTGAATACAGCTGAGCCTATAACGAGGTACTTAACAGAAACTGATCCGATTTATGAAGCTGAAAAACGTAGGCAAGCAACTGAAAAGTATGTCGATGAGACGGCGCGATATTATCGTCATACCTTAGAAAGAGAAGGATTTGGTGAAAACGGTGTAACCGAAGATTACAACAAATATGAAACCGATACTCATAAAGTAAAATATAATACTGAATCTCGAACATTTCAAAAAGTTCCAAAGGGTGAAGTAGATAGACGTGAGTTCATTGATAGTTTAGGCCCCGATGGCAGGTACAGAGACGGCAGAAAGGTATTTCCTCCAGAACCGGAGTACGAACCTCCTAGTCTAGAATTAGTTACAGGCAAACCTATGCTCACACCAGATGAATACAAAGAAAAAAAATATAAAGTAAAAAAGAATTCAAATTCTAGTCTTGAACTTTTACAAGGTGGTCAAAAATACAAAAATAAAGATTCCTGGTTTGGTAAAAGGAAAGGTCACTACGCTTCTAATCCTGAAATAGCTCAAGAGAGAGAAGATGATTACGCAAATATACGTTATGAAGCGAAGCATGCCGAATCTTACCACAACTCTTTACGTCGCGTCAAAAATAAGGAAAAAGAAAGATATCCTAGGGAAGATTTTCAAATACGTCGTCATGATTCTGGAGATAGTCGAGACTATTACAGGGAAGAGAGATCTCCGCCTCATCGATACGATATTGATAATCGCTTAGTCGATTCCGGCATTGAAAACGATTTCCGTAAAGACTCTAGTGGTGAACTCCACAGAAGATTTAGAAGACATGAAAGCGACGACGATGTCCATAACACTTCATTGTTATTGGCCAGCGAAAGAAGACATACAGAAGATAATTATCCCAGTGAGCAAATTTATGCCAACGGCGAATACTTGACACGATTCAAAGATTTCAGGGAAAACAGCTATAGGAAAGAATACACTTCGAGAGAGAGAAGCGCCGACGATGGATCCCAATTAACGCATAAAAATGATAAATTTGAAAAAAGTCCAACTGATGAAAAAGTTAGTGCGAAACCACCTAAAGCAACAAAAAAGCTTTCTGGACTCGAGAAGGTAATTGGACTTTAACAAATTGGACGAACATTCTTATTGTACAATAACTTTAACAATAATTATAACATACTTTTTTTTAATTATAGATGAAACAGCTGTTCTCTCGCGACTCTTCAAAGAAGAGCAAAAAAGAGAAGGAAGAGGTCCAGCCGAAGGCTCGCACTCGGGTGCTCAAGAGCCCTGAACATCTTGCTAGAGATGACTCCGAGTATAGAAGGTTCTTGTCTTTCTGTTATTTGTGTTTTCTTTATTTCAAATTTCATTTGGAAGTGGTAATTTTATAGATCATATTTCTTGGGTTTATATTAATAACAAAAATCCTCTTCCCTTGGTTTATAAATTGATTATGAATGAAAGTCATATTTCAAATGACACTAACATTTAACAATTGATTGGTTACTATTTGAAAAATATCAATTGACTTAATATTTTGAAACGTAATGAAATATGATTGGATGAAATTAAAAATTTTATTTATTTTAAAGATGAAGGTTATTTTCAATGCGAAACGAGAGAATCGATAGATATAACTGCATTTGGATCTTCTTTCTCGTATTAGAATTATCAAGAAGGGTATATGTATTGTTTAATCAAATTAATAAATCAGATTCACTGATCCGGAGCCAAGCGACATCGTGGTCAAGAAGATCAACTACGACTGCCAAGGAGACGAAAGGCGTATCAGAAATTCAAGGGAGGACCTGGACAGATACAGGAATTCTGGTAGTCCGGACAGAAAATATAAAGAACCAGATTTTGACGACAGGTTAGTACAAGTGTAATTTGTCGTTACGAAACTAAAAATTTCAGCTTGGACAAAAGAGGGATCCGGAGCTCAAAATACATCTCTCTTAAAACTTCAGCAAGATGCACCCGATTGGGTCATCTGATCTTCGTAATGAAGGCACTTTAGGTAATCTATCCAGTCAGCTTATGTGGTGACAGTATAAACACCATGTATCGGTGAAATACATATTTTGGTGGTCAAATTTGGGTCGTGTGAGTGGAAGACCTTGGAGAACAGCTGCTGAACAGAACAAATCCTGATCTTGATCTCAGCGTCAAGATTAAGATGTAATTATTAAATAGGCATGATAAAAAAGGGATACATTTATTCCACATTTTCTTACCTTCTTGACGCAACTGAAATATGACCCTTTCCTAAACATTTGACCACGCTATTTCTAATTTGAATATAAGTATGTAGAGAGTATGTGGAGATCTCGGGCTTCGAGTAGGTCAATGGTTAAACAAAACGTCCGGATTGCGAAAGGTTGTATTTGAGTTCCACCTCGGGGCATCTGGGGTTGGTGGAATTTTTAAACACTTTCTCTTAAAAATACCCAAGGTTTTGTTTATTTTACTCAAAATTACTATTTTCTGTCGTGAATTACAACTAATAAAAACAGATATTCATATAATATAAGATATTTCATTTCGGTTTCATGAAAACCGAACACAGTCTTTATATCGTAAAATATTGTTTTATGGCAAAACTTTACGTTGTCAGCTACAATGTGTAAAAGTTCACTTCTTCCTAATTTTAAGTTGACAAAAGATTTCGCCATCTTTCATTCATTTTCATTTTACATGTAGAAATTTATTTATTCACTTGACATTGGCGGAATTGTGCGAAATGCGCAGATAAGCCATTAATAGAAGAAGATGAAATTGACAAAATCGGGTGATCTGTCACGTTTGCCGTCTATCCAATAAGTACAATATTAATATATCTATTCAGATATGAAAGAACGTTGAAAGAAGAAAGAAGATACAAAGAGAGAAAGGAGGAGAAGAGATACAACTCATCAGAGAGAGACAGTGATCATAGACCTTCTGATGCAGAAAGTGACCTCAGGAAGACGAGGTCTAGAACAGCTGGACCACTCGATTCACCGGCCCTGGTAAGTGATGCAATATTTAGAAATATATATGTTAAAGGTTAATATTAATCATTTTTGTTGGAAAGAGAAAGATATATGGAAATTCTCAGGTTGACAAACATAATTCTTTCGTATTTGTATAAAATTCAATTTAATACGACTAATAATTATATTAAAAATGGAGGATAAGGTAGAGTTTTTCTCGTTTTTTATTTATCAACACAATTAACATTTGAAGCTAACAATTTGCAGGTTAAATCGACGCACTTAATATTTACATAATTTTTGATCAATCATTAGCTAAATAATATAAGTTACATCTCATTAAACTTGTAGTCACTCGATGGAACATGACACGTGTTAAGACGATTTTTTTTAAATATTGATCAATATCACACTACTAGTGGCCGCCAGCGACTTCGTCCGCGTTTTCCATTATTTTTTCGCTCCTAATAGTTGCAGCGTGATGTTATATAGCCTTAAACCTTCCTCGATAAATGGTCTATTTAACACAAAAAGAATTTTTCAATTCGAACCAGTAGTTCCTAAGATTAGCGCATTCAAACAAACAAACTCTTCAGCTTTTTAATATTAGTATAGATTAGCAGCCAATGCAAATTCATCGCGGAAAATTTAAATCAGATATAAATTCTCCTTGGAATTCTTGTTCATGCAATCTTCAAATCAGATAAAACCATACTTTTTAATGTTATTAAAGCGTAATAACAATTGAAAACTTCAATCGAACCTTTATCATCGGTCATTTACCTACCTACTCATAAATCTCGATTTGTCACTCCTGAAAGTTCTTTTAGTTAATAGAACTTAAAATATTTGCGAGTCATTATTTAATGGTTGTTAACATTCATCTTCAGCTTAAGAGCAATCAAATATTGCTTACATTATAATACCCGGAACGAACTGGAATCCGTCACTCTGTAGTACTCTCACCTTTTGACGTCGACCTATGATAGAGGCATTGTAAAGGTCAGCCGACGACCGACGCAATATCGTTGCTTACTTTTACTGCAGTTTCAATAGGTTTTTACTGGTGTAGCATTTATTGTTAAAAGCAAAAATGGCTTATACTGAAAAACAAAGAACATTAATATTAACTTCGGCCATCATTTTTTACTTACTGACTATAGCAGCTTATAAAGATTGGATAATTCAGGACATATTTTATTTTAGCACAGAAGAAGAAAAGACATCTCAGCTCTTAATATAATAGTTGCGACATGTTTATAAACTTATGTTGTTATTAAGTAAAAGAAAAGTTAAAAAAACTTTTATAAAAAAATAGAACCGCCTTCAAATTTTAAAAAAAGTCAAAATTAATACTTATCTCAAAATCTTGGCCCGACTTAAATAGCATTTTCTTGAATAAGTCGCTTTTGAGATAAGTATTATTTTTAACTTTTTTAAAGTTTGAAGTTTATTTTTTTAAGTTTTTATATCATGCCTTTTTGTGATATCGATATTTTTTATTTAACACTAAAAATACTTTTCTGAAAACCACGTCAAAACCGTGTTTAAGTGCGAACCTCCAATTTATTAGTCTGTTAATATACCTAAAACCTTCTCCTGAGTCTGACTAAAACTGTGCTGAAAAACGCATTAAAATCGGTTTAGCCAAACGCGAGATACTCGCCCACAAACATGTATACATACTCCTTTTTTTAAGTTGGTTAAAAGCTCAATTAATTACAGGCATTAAAGTCATGATCACCTTTATATTAACCTTTTCTTGTACGTTCTTGACTTTTTGAATTTGTGACCCAACAAAATGAATTCTTAAAACATATGTCAACAATACGACGACACTCGGTGTTCGAATATGAAATTTTCTGTTAATATTTCAGAGCATAAACAACTGTAAAAAAATAAAACACATGGTTTTGGTCCTAGATTTTGGTTTTGGAAAAAAAAAACTTTTGATAATTAAACAATCAAAACAAATTAAAATTAGATTTTATTACGTTAGATCAATTATAAAGTACAACAGAACGGGCCACGTTTGTGTAACATTTTAGTTTAGATTAAGATCCCCAGGTTTAATTTATATCAAGATACTATACGAAATAATTTGAAAAAACTACAAATACAATTATGTAATACCGGTTATTATGCTGTCTTATTTAAGTCCATATGATCATCTCATAAAGAATACGCAATAGAAATTGTGTTTGTATACAAATTGGTAACTGGCGTACAACTTATGCCTCGTATGGCCTAGGGCTAAAATATAAGTGAAAGTCTTCGTTCTCAAGCGCTAGTTGTAGAGTAAGTACTGTTAAAACCTGCTTTTTACCATTTGATATATTGATGTGCATGTATACATTGACAATAGGAAACTGTTTTCTAAGATTGGCGACTACATTAGTAACATTTTTCTTTTATGGCGACAGATAGTTTTTGTCTCTCTCTCTTGCGAACAATATCACACAGTACAAGTTAAGTAAAATCTATCTTTTTTTCTTTCTTTCTAAATAATAATTAATGGTAGAATCAAGAAATAATAAAAAAAAACAAAAGCACTAATAAAGCACAACCACTAGATGGCGACTCTAGAAAAAGTTGATTTTTGCAGGAAACGAATGGACCAAAGCCAGTCATTTCCGTTCCTGTTAATTAACATATTAAAAAACTGAAATTTGAAAAGTTTGAAACTTAGATATTAATACAAATTCGAAAAAGCATAAATAGAATATGAGTTGTTTATTGAATTTGAAAACTAATTTACTTTTAAACATGAAAGAAAACCATGGAGAAATCAAGAACGTACCGTAGCGACATCTAGTTTGATTACAGGAACAATATTTTTTTTAATACTTTCTCATTTCAATAATCGGGCTAGAGGTTGCCCGATTATTGAAATTCTGGGATAACTTTGTTATTTTATCCTACTGAGAAAATTTTATATATTCACGTTTTGAATATGACAGAACCGTTCGAAGTAATATGTGAGTTTTTTTTAAGTACAGCTTATAATTATACAGTCCATTATTTCCTCTTATATATCCAGTTGAAAGTTAATGATATTTGATGTAAGCGAAGGCGCTTTCGTCATTAAGAAGGCTCAATGACGCTATATTATGGGAGAATGTACCCATGCTTACTTTGGTCAAAGGATGTGTTATCTATAAGTCGGTGTTCAACTTGTTGGTCAGTGGTTAAGCAATTGAGCAATTGCAGACAAATACTTTCACAATTCAATAAGATTTCAAAAGGCATTTTGCGCTATATTATAATGATATTTGATAATTGTTTACCTACAATAGTAATAAGAAGACGAGCATTTACCGTTTTTTGTATATTTATTGCACTGTTATAATGCAAAATTAAATAATACATATTATAGAGAGGAATGACTTGATTGTTTTTTTGCATAGAATAGGCTCTAAAACTGTTGCACCGATTTAAAAAAAAAACCCCTACGGGAAACTTCGCTGTCCGTCATAGAGGTGCAATCAAACAAAATCTTCTTCAAAAACTAATAAAGGTTTTATATACACTTAAACAGTGGTGTATAGATTGTATGCTTAGGCCCAATTAAGACGAATCAATTTTATTTTTTGTCGTGTTGCAGTAAAGCGGCGGTTACATGTGCTTACATCTATGTGATCTGTCTATTGGCAGGGATTCTGATTACATTGTGAGTTATAAAAATAAACACTATACTTTAGCTTGAATTAAATCAGATCTCTTTATTCAGTCTCACAGACAACCGTTCTTTCTGCCAGACTGCTACCATAGACATTAGTGATTCTTAATCTTTATTAGGTACTTGAATCTCACATAAAATAACACAAATTCATAAGCCTGCCATGCCATGTATGCCATGTTATAGTTAAAAACAAAAGAATTTTGTTTAGGGAACTTATTATAAATATTCTAAATACAAAAGATGGCACCGGTGACGTCAACTGCATTAGCACGAGTCATATGACATCATTTGGTGTCTCACGACCCCGTGAGGCTATTGAACTGGTAACATCAGCAAAGGTATAAACTGCCAAACAGTTTTTTTATCTGCTTTGTGATTTTTAATTAACTCTTACAAAAAAGTTTCGGTTTGAAATTCGAACGAAAATTATTGATACGTGGCCCAGCCTTTATATGAATTCGTAGATATCATTACAATAGGTATTAATTTTACTTAAAAGATATCTAACTGTTGACGACAGCCACGTGCCGAAAAAATGTACAGATTGAACGACCAATCACAGCGCCTACATTAGCTGAATTATCAGGGAGCTCATTGGCTGCGTAGGCGCCGTCCGCGCGGTGGGGGCGATTCCCCCACCCGGCGCGCGGGCGTAAAACGCGCTGTGATTGGTCGGCCGCCGCGCGTCACTAGTAGCTAAGTTAGATGTTAAGTTTAGAATAAGGGTAGGGCCAAATTTGTAAATATTCGTAGTCAAGTCAAGTCAGTCAAGCAGTATAGTCAAGCAGTAATAAATAGCCAGTAAAAAGAAAAATAAAACGTCTATAGAAGAAATTCGTCTTTGTCTTGCACCATCATCAACAGTTTTGCACCATCCTCAACAGTTTGGTCCTTCGAGAAGCCGGATCTAAACACGTATAGAACCTTCGAGATCCAGCAACAGCAATTCAAGATGGTGCTTACAAGAAGCCAAGGCGAAGAAAACCAACGTCGTGTCTTCGACCAGCCGCCGAGATCGCCCTCAAGTACACCGACCGTACGAGGACGCCTCGAGACGGGTAACGCCGGGGAGAGCCTACGCACCGCACCGCAAGTCTCGCAACTAGCGCCTAACGCGAACCGCGCTGGGGCAGACGTTGCCGGAGCACGCGTCGCCTTGGCAGTGACTACGCAGCCGCCGAGCGGAGCGGACGAACGCGCAGCACACCCAATGGACACAGCGGCGACTACTGGCATAACGACATCTGCGATGACGTCATCGGTGCAACCGGCGAGGAGAGTGCACGTCGCGCGTTCGACCCGCTCGGCAGCGAGCAACGCGGCACGCCGGAAGCTACGCATCGAAGCAGAAGAA